AGCGGAGTCCAGCCCGGGGTCGTCACATGTGGTTGCCGCAGGCATCACAATATGGTAAGGGATGTAACATTTCCGTCACACGCTTGAGGTATTTGGCCAATCATAACGCACTGGATAGCTGGCCAATCACATCACACCTCCCTTTTTCAGACCGATGAGCTTTGTAAAAATCGACGTGCTTCAGAAAGGCGTGGCATAGAGGAGAAACTATAATGTACAGTATGTGGAAAATAATGTGTTTTTTGAACCTTAAACTGCATAAACACATTTCATTACACCAAATACACAAAATAATGTTCTTTTTTAGCAACGTCATATGACCCCTTTAACAGCGGAAAAAAATACACAGTTCAACTTTAATACCATTAGAAACAAAATCAGAAGAGTGGTCTATCATTGCAAGACTTTTACTCAGTGGCCCTTAAGATTTGACTTTTTTGGTGGACATCCAAATTCATGATCTCTAGAGCACCATGGCTGGGCTGAGGGACACTGTCTGACCTTTAAATCTTGAGGAGAGAGAGAGAGGGGACCAAGATCATTATCTCCCCTCTGAGTGCAGTGTGTTTTTCCCCACTGACCTGTAGAACGGCACTGACCCCAATTGCTGATGGCTGACCACCAACTTCACCTTGTTTTGCCCTTTAGATGTACGATTACTTTTATCACACGCCCCTACAACCTTTCAGAGGCTGCAATCCTCACTGTACATTCAACAACCAACACACAACTTTGTGCTATGAGTCCTAGCTTTTACTGTTCTGCATCAGGGGTCGTCTTCTGTAACCAAACGTCAATGGAATTTCAGGCATGTACTGTACTGTATAGAAACCACATCTCCCATTCATAAGTTACTCAGCAACAAGGACAAATTCATTACACAAAGCTAAAGCAGCATGCTAAAGGCTCACTGACATCAATAAATAGAAACATTTTAAATGTAGTGCTTGGGCACAAGTTGGAAATGTATTTGCCGGGCTAGTGCGCTCTGTGAAAGCAGGGAGTCGTGTATCATCCCAGGCTTATAGGTTCAGACCTGCTGTTGCAGGAATAATGTAAGAGGAAATCCCAGCTGACAGTGCAGGATTGTTCCTCTCATGCACATTGAAAGCAATATACATACTATCAAATCCAACCATTTAGCCTGGTTTCAACACAAGAGACAAATCAGAGTTACCCGTGACACACACTAACGTATTAAAAGAACAGTTCACCCAAAATGAAATTATTTGCTCACCTTCATGTTGATCAAAGCCTGTATGACTTTCTTTCTTCTGTGGTAGATTGAAAAATTATAAGTAATGTAGCTGAATGCACTTTGCAATTAATAATGCAATGAATAATGGTGCAAAAGCACCATTAATGTATCATAAAAGTGGCCTATTTTACTTGCGCAAGCTATACAATAGCTATGTGTGAAAAACAAGTCTTCAATTATTGAAAATGTTGATGTTCCTAGATCTCCTAAAGAGAACTCTAGAGAGTTCAAAATAGAAATGACAATGTTTGAACTGGAAATAAATCATTCTTTTAACTTGGGTCTTTTCAATGAATCCAACTGATTGGTTTAAATCACTGACTCAATAATCCAGTTTCAGCTTATTGTAGGTTGTTATCAAAAACTAAAATTAAAATAATTTTCACTAACTAAAATACAGCTGTAAGCAATGTAAGCATTTTATTTTATATGAAATAATGATCTGTTAATTATTCTGTAATGTTTAATAAGTTCATTCGTAAACATTAAAGCATATTATCTTTATATACATTTCTAGCTATTTGAATATATTAACTAATGATCCATTAAGCATTATATAATGTTTGTTAATTATTTATTAATGAATGTTATTATAAAGTGTTACCAGATATAAATATTAGATGAAAGACTTCAGTTAGAAATTAAAAGCATTGCCTTGGCAACTAACTGAAATAAGTTAATGTACTAAAAATACTAAAACTACATAAAAATTAACTGAATATATCTAAAATATATAGAGCATACTATAATAGTATATAAATAATACTAAAATAACGCTGCTGTAGGGGAAGGTTATCATTCAATAACAACAGAGACCAAAAATAATATCAGTGACTTCAAAACACTTGGATATAGTAGCCATTTGGACTAGCTTTATGATGCTTTTTGAAGATAAGAGCTGTCACCATTCACTGTAACAGCATGAAAAAGAGCAACCAACGTACCGGCGAACTGTTCCTTTAAAAACCAACAATGCCAACATGATGTTACTTCTGTGTCCAAAAGGAAAATATATTCTAAATACAAATGATTTGCGATGCATATGAGAATATTCTCTAACAGTGCATCTCAGGCAGAGATCATATTAGTCTGCTTGAGGAGAAACCATGAGTGAGACAGCGAGTGTTGATCCAGACAGCCGGAGGTGTTCACCTGTCAGAGAAGAGATCAAAGGGTCTGGAAGAACTGACTCCAGATCAGTGGGCAGAGCAATAGTGAATCTGTGTAAATACTGTCATGCATTATGCATGCACACAGACAGCACTGGCTCATGTTGTATGACCTGTGAGGAAACCCTGGCCTTCTGTGTGCACAGTGCATTGCTCTGTCATATCTCGCTAAACTACAATAGCTAGACCTCTGAACTCAGTCTGTGGACTACATATCCCAAAAAAGAAAATGTGACCGATGAGTGTATGATGACCTGTGATGGGTTCAATACAAAAATGATTACTGTTTCCACAAACATTTTTAACATTGATAATAAGAAGAAATGTTTCTTGAGGATAAAATCATCATATTAAAATGATTTTTGAAGGATCATGTAACACTGAAGTAATTAATATCTGCTAAAAATGTAGCTCTGACATTCATTAATGACATTTCAAAATATATTAAAACAGAAAACATTTATTTAAATTTTTTATAATATTTCATAATATTACTGATTTTACTGTATTTTTTTTACTCAAATAAATGCAGCCCTGGTAAAAGTAAGATACTTCTTTCAAAAACATCTTTAAAAGTCTTACCAACCCCAAGTTTTTGAATGGTAGTCTACTAAGGCAGTGGTACTCAATTCCAGTCCTCGCATACCACCGCTCTGCACATTTTGTATGTATCTCTTAGCACTTCAGATGTTTGTTCTATTCGACCGTAAGTGCCCTGCGAAGTGGACATCACAGGATATTATGCCATGTTTCCAGTGCAAAGGGAGCATACAGTATATGTTCCATTCAAAGGGCATTAAAGTGTGCGAGACGTGAATTTAAATTGTATTTATTTACAGAGGCACATCATGTCACTAAAGTGTGCGAGATGTGAATTTAAATTGTATTTATTTACAGAGGCACATCATGTCACACTTCTCCAGTAAGTTTCGTCTGTGTGTGAGGACGTTGCAGGCCGTGACATAGCGCAAATAAATGTTCTGAAGTGAAGCAAACTTAAACAGATTTTTCATGCTCAGGGAGTAGGGAGCAATGAACACTGTGTAGGGACCATGTCAATCTGAACACAGTTCATGAACTGGAATTAAGAACCACTGTGCTAAGGGTTTCATCAACTGGTTGTTGAGAGAACAAATCTCATTTTTCATACATTTCAATACAGTGTTCCATAAAACTCCTGACAAATATTGAAATATCAGGCCTCTGGGACTCTTCTTCCATTATTGCATCTCCTTCTATTATTATCTAACGTTATCTGAAGTTTATAAACTATTAACGTTCAGTCTGATGAATAATGCAAAGAAACAGGAAGTGAAGTTCCATTATAAGGACAGATGGGCTGCACTTCATGACTTATACATACACGTTTTCCGAGCTGAGTCCTCCACGAATAGAGAGGAGATGTCCTGGTCCACTCCCGCCTCATTACGGGCAATGCAGGTATAGGCACCGGTGTCCTCAAAGTGGACGTTACTGATGTGCACCTCGCTCCCGTTAGCTGGAAATGAAAAAAAGAATGAAGGAAAGACTGAAGTGAACTTTTCCTCCATCACTTCTAAATCACTTGAGACAGTTCTTTAATGGGTTCGTAAAAAATCTGTTTGTTAACGGCTGAAACATTTATAGCGTTCTCAAGTTGTCATGTTAGCTTTAGTCTGAACAGCTGACTTTGGAGGAATGTTTGTTGATGAGAGGCCCCACAGGGGGGGATTGTGGGATTGAGTAAAGATCTAGATCTAGATCATGACAAACACGTCAATCACTGCTACAGTGCAACCAGCAGGCAACACGGCTATATAAAGCTTCTTCAGAATGACCAGATCAATGTCTGCTTTTGTAAAGATATGGGTAAATTTTTTCAGTGTGAAATCAGCTAGTATAATAAAGGCTTTTGTTTAGAACAGAGAACTGTACTGTCATTAGACTAGGGTATTCCCTTAATTCTAATTCAGAACTGGTTATATTTTGAAAACGTTCCATTAGCGGTTTTCGTACATGCATTCTTCCGCCGATGTAGACAGAATACTATACTAAAATACCCTGACCCTAAAATTTCCTTCACTACTTATTTAGCGCCTCATCAACCGCTACTGAATCTGCAAAGAGACCAGAGTGGTCGGATTATAGAATGAATGACTCTTATAAGTTGGTTCTTTTTAGTGATTTAAACACTTACAGCTTACATCTAACTGTGAGACTGGATGTTCATAAGACAACATTATGCATTTGTCAGTAGCATTTTATTCAAACGCACAAGAAAATGCTACCACATTTTCAAAAGTTTGGGATTTTTCAGTAAGATCTTTAAATGTTTTTGAAAAAAATCTAATATTGTAATATCTAATACAATATAATAATATAAAACCTCTAATAATTATATCATATGCTAATCAAGGCTGCATTTACTTGATCAAAAATACAGTAAAAACAATTATTATTATAAATGTTGAAAACAGTTATACTGCTTAATATTTTGTGCAAACTGTGATACTTTTTCAGGATTTTTTAATGAACAGAAAGTTTAAAAAAAATCTTTTACATTTGATTGAAATTGAAATAATTTTTGTCTACTCTGACTTTTGATCAATTTAATGCATCCTTTCTGATTAAAGTTTAAATATTTGAAAAAGCAAACAGTCCTACTAACCCCAAACGTTTGAACGGTAGTGTATACTTAATGTCACCTCTAAAAAGACTGTGAAAAGTCATTAAAAGGTCTGTATAACACACCTTTATTATTAAAATTTCATATTTCATTTGGCAGTGGAATTGCATTTTCTTCCCAAATATTTATTCCTTAAATAAACTAAAAGGTTATTGAATAGGACCATTAGGAACCAGAATAAAAATGTTTTAATTCTTTATGATTCCCATTCATAATTGTCATATACAGACCTCCGTGTGAAAGTGTGTCATTTCTGTGGCATTAGCAGCATTACTGTTTCAGTCATAAGAAGAAATGTCCAGTGGTTATTTGTCTGTACCCTGAAGTGTGAGTTGTTTGGAGAGTTTCGTGGTGATGTCCATGCCGTTCTTCAGCCATGAGAGTTGTGGGTCAGGGATGCCCTCAGCGTAGCACCGCAGACTGGCTGTGACCCCCGGCTCACGTGCCTGGCTCTCAGGGTACACCCGGATAACAGGGGGCACTATGAACAAACAGAGGAATGGACAAAAGTGTAAGCAAAGTGAATGAATGAACAAATAAACAACACACTGAATGGTTAGAATGATGTTTATATTTTTCCTTTTATCTACAAGAAAGTGTTTTATTTTTTTTTTTGCCTTTTGACTATTAAATATCATGAATATGCCACCAAATCATCACAGAAACTCAAATGAGCTTGAGAGGTCAAACTGTCATTAATTATTAAATAAAGACATTTCTTAGGAAAATAAAAAAATGCAAGCCAAGCATGATGATGGTGTTGATAATAATAATAGTAATAATAATAATAATAAACATCTTTATTTAACCAGTTGCCTTAATTTAGAACTCTATATGAGAGGAAATGGGAGAAATGAGGGGAAATGTGTGGACAGCGGTGGCGGGGGCACCATTTTGTAGCACGCAAGGGGGTTGATTTAATGAAATGATTTGCTTCAAGGCACAAGGAGTAGAATCTGAGTCTTAAGCTCCCTGGGACTCAGACTATTTACTGTGGAGTGGAACTCACGATTGAAACGCAGAAATCATTTAGTGTAAAAATCACGAGCTCAGGCCCTTGTGGTGTTCCAAGATCAGCTCATTGGCAATGAACAGATTATGATAAACAGTAAACCGTGTGAAAATGCCATTCATGAAGGAAAATGTAGGAAAGCATATCAGCATATCTGTGATACTGAGTATGAGAAAGAAAGAGCACTTAAAAGTGTTCTGAAGACATAAAAATATGTGTGTGAGGAATAAACCGGAATTTAGGTAATTATTCAATCAATACCGTCAGCCAAAACTCTGATATGGACGAAAAAAAAAAAAAGTCATATGGACTTGTTTCTGCACCATTTTTTGCAGCTTGACAGATCTGGTTTCTTTTCACTTTCATTAGCCAGGATAATCTTCAAAAAAATCTTATTTTGTAAAAAAAAGATGGTAAATTGTGTAAATAATAGTGTAAATAACGACAGACCTTTCATTTCTGGGTTAATTATCCTTTCATTAAAAAAAATTAAATAAAATCAAGGGATTTTTGGTTAAATGAGCTACGCTAAAAAACATAACCAGTGCTCTCTCTTTCTTATTCTCTACTAAGCTCAACCTAGAAATGATCCAAAAAAAAAATCCTTACGAAATGACTTTTCTTTCTGTGTGTGTAACCTGTATCTATCTTTGTGTGTATTTTATTACCTGGGGATCGACTTGAGATTGTCCTCTGTGTGAAACGCATCAAAGCTGACAGCTCTATCACAAAACTCTCATGGGCCCTTTTCTCCTCCAATCTCCCTCCTTTTATTCCTCTGCCCTCCTTTTCTTTGTTTTCCTCAGTGTTGATTTTCTGTGAGAATAAGCAAGTATTTTGGCTCAAACAGCGTGTAAGTCCGCCATCACTGGACCGGATAAATTCTCTGTGTGTATTTGTTCCTCCATGAAATTGAGAGTCAGATTTATTAGTTTATGTTTGTTTTTGTCTCTCTTGGTGCGCTGACGTGTCCATTACATGCGGCACTGAGAAGTGTGTGTTATTCTGCCGCTGTTGTAAGTGCGTCAGTGCTGATGAGCTTTCAGTGTTCTCATTTGGAGTTTCCTCTCCATTTCACCACCTCTGAGACTCAGAAGGTCTCTGTGAACCTGTCCGACCCCTTTCATTTTCCCAGCTAACACTGCTCTCATACATCTGCGTGCTCTTCAGGGTCTTTAAAAATAACGGAAAATGACACCCTCACCCACACCCACCCACTCACACACACAAAAAAAAAAAAAAAAAAATTCACTGTTTTTTTTTCCTGACAAAAAATGACC